GGAAAAACTATCACTGTATGAGTGTGGATTGGTTCTGCCTCTCTCTTTTGTTTTTTTGTTTTTTTTTTTTTTGTGAATAGATCCCATACTCCCATATATTATATCAGCAAAATGACAATAAATGTCAGAAGAGAATGATAGTGGTGAGAAAGAGCCTGAAATCCAAATTCAAAAAATGGTTGTAATATTGATTTAAAAATTGGGGGAATATTCTGTTATAGGAATTGAATCAGTCTGCTGCTTCTTACAAACTGATCCAGAAATCGTATACATGTTAGATCACTGATTCTCAGTGAACCATCGTTGTAGTTCAGCCAGCAGTCCTAGAGCTTGGTTGTAACCTGTAAGTATCTATATATATATATATATATTAGAGAGACATGCCTTTAACATTAAATATTTATCATATTAAGCATAAATAAGTGTAAAACTATTAGAGTATGATCTAGAACTATTCATGCCGATAATATTATATATAATAAAACTGTTCAGATCGGGCTTCATGATTTATACAAGGATTGGAATTGGAATTGGTGTTAAACATTTTTCATTAATAAAGAAGCAAAGTTCGGTCTGGCCTATGAATAATTCTAATATAGCCGGTAACCACTTTTGGGTCAGATTTAACCAATTGGTTTATCAGATGATTGACCAAGCCAATATTTTTTATAAATGAATCGTTCAATTATGAAACCAACTTAGATTAGAAACATAAAGCAGTGATAGATGAACCAGTTCAATTTAAACTCTAAAATTAATGGTTTCTTTCTTTTTAAGCCAACTTTCAAGTTTGAAGGAATGTGTTACAATTCAACATTTCTCCGGGAATGAGAATGATTTCCAGACGCATATTGCCATCTGGCATCTGCCCATGTGAGTCCGGCCGAGTCTCGCCCTAAAATTGATAGACAACAAATCCAGCGCCTTGCCACCCTAACATAACAAGGCCAATCGACAAGATTTGTCTTGTTTTTTTGCTGCTGCGTTCAGGAAGCCAAAATGTGTTTTTTATACGTAGGCTGGACGTCTGGGAGAAAACCATTAAACCAGGTACTCTGGTAAGCATGTCTCCTCTGGACGGGTCAGCGTCAGCCTGATGAAATGACGTCACATGGAGAAGATCGAGGTGGGTGTCCAGGATTTGAGGACAATGATGTGGTACAGCCTTGTTAGGTAGGCCATCATACACCGTAGTGGCCGGAGAAGAGCCAGATGTGAATGAGGAGAAACATGCCTTTTGACACGAGTCTTGCGACGTTTGTCGGCTCTTCTGTTCATACCTCGGCACCAAAAAGCTATCGGCGCCGCCGTATTGCGCCGGAGAATGGACTTTCTTGGCGCCTCTCCACACTAATCCCACAGAGGAAGAAAACGATAAATCCTTTTCTTCATTTCTTCTTCCTTCTTATTTGCTCTAGCTACTAGCTAAGTGGATGAGCTGGTCTCCAGCAAGGCAGCAACCACGTGAAATCAGACCCACTACACAAATCTCTATACATATCTCTTGTGACTTGTGAGTAGTCCTACTGAACTGACCCTATCTACGACTTCTTTGTCCATCTTCTTGTCTCCATGTTTCTTCTAACGTGACGTCATATCTGCAACTTCTTTGTCCATCTGCTTGTCTCCATTTTTCTTTGTTTGTTTGGTAATTAAACCGATACAAGTGTATATGTTTATGTTCTTGGGAGAATGACCAATCAGCCCAGATCAGAATCTTATACCCCCAAAATGCATTCGGACCGTGAATTGATGTCAAATTCAGGGGCAGGATGTGATTTATATGGGGAGAGGGCTAGTAGTAGGGTGGGGCTGGAATTTAGAACTCTGCATCGTGTGTATCACTACTTCTCCGTATGTTTTTTGCTATTTGATGTGGGGTGGCCCAGTTCACGAGCGCCAGACCTAGCGACGCCATTCGCCACTGCAGGAATCGCCTTATATACCTCGTACAGAGTTTATCTTGGAGTATGCACGCGTATATGCAGAGCTCGTTGATCACGCGTTTAACTTCACCAACCTCCAAGCGGCTTAAGTAGAAATAGATCTAATCCCACTACAATACTTACATGTATTCACTTGAGGAATTAAGTGTCTACGAGCAACCTCCTCGGAGTCCTCGTCTGAACCTAATTCTCCTCCTCGTATCCTTGTACTAATTTGACCATCGGATTCTGTCTCAGGTTCTCACCCGAGCTCTCTAACATCCTTTGTCTTGTAGCACTTAGCTACCAAACCTCGACTTCTTCGGAGCTCGGCATATGAATAGCCTCAGCTTCCAATCTTTGGCCTCAGCACTTCATCTCCAAGCCCTCAAAGCCTTCGGCCCATCTTCAAAGCCCAAGAGAGAAATTACTTTGTTGCCCTCGACCAATCCGATTAGCAACAATTGGCACCGTCTGTGGGAAACGTCGCTAAGACAATCCCTTAAAATCTAAAAAACAAAAAGAAAAGAACAAACCTCCCCAACTTCTGACATCATGGTGCGGAGAACTAGGAATAATCACAACCTGGTCACCAATGAACAGTTTCAGGCTGTCCTCAATTGTTTGGACCGCCTTACCTCAATTGTTTGGACAGCCTTACTCAACATACGGAAGAAGCCCGCCCCTGAGCAGGAGGTCCCTCTCAAGGCAATCGCCCCATGGGGGTGTTAGAGGATTAGGGCCGACACGAGCATGTCGAGCCACCAGCCCCTAGCCAGGGCAACAATTTGTTGTCCAAGCCATCGGAGTCGGGCAACAACCGTCCCCCCAATTCACCATGGAGGAACATCTATCCTCCTATTCGAAAGGAAAATGTGCCCGCTCAATCTGAAGACAGTCACCAACCTTCGGAGCAACACCACCGCCGCCAGAGGGAGGTTCCCCAAAACGATGACGGGCATATCGGCCACCCTAGAGTTCACTCCCGAGGCGAGAGCCAACGCCATGCCACTCCCCCTCCCATCTCAGATCTCCGAGACGTTTTGAATGACCGCCGTGCCCCCAGAGGAGCACGCAACCCTGTTTCGGAGTACAAGAGAGTTCGAGCCGACACCCACCGAGTCCGTGAAGACAAAAGCAGGGCCCATGCCTATGTTGTCTTTGTAAGAGGGGTTATCTAGTGGAATGTCCGCGAAGGGGCCTAGAAAAATTTACTCTTCCAGTTAAGCACGGAAGAGGGGTTATCTATTGGCTTGGTCCTACGGGGTTGAAGGTAGTACATGTTGTCTTCGGAAGAGTGCTTCCTTGGCATAAACATCGCTCGATTAAACTTCAGCGTTAGTTCCACCCCCTGGAACCGAGCCACCACCAGCATTGCCACTATGGTCCTAACGGCGTTGGGCACCAGCTGACTAAGGGTGATCCCATACGCCCTCAACAGTTCAGGGATCAACGGATGAAGGGGGAACCGAAGACTGAACTGAAGAAAATGTTGGTAAACGTAAATCTCCCCTTCCTTAGGAGGAGTCCACGACTATTCGCCCACCTCAGGCACCCTTACACCATAGGATGAGGGAATGAAATTCTGCCTCACAAGAGCCTTGACCTGATCCCCATCTAGAGAGTTTTCAAATCCCGAAGGCAGGGTCTGGGGTCTCCTCCCCCTCAACTTGGGAGGACCCTTCGGCCTCCCTCGACATCACAGATGCAGCACTCTCGCAGGGATGGTCATTATCTTGACGGCTACCTTCGGCACCCTTGGAGGCTATCCTCTCCCAAAGCACCTCAACCTCTTGCCGAAGGGGGGCAAGGACAGAAGGACTTAAAGCCTTTGGCCCATCTTCAGAGTCTAGAAGAGAAATTACTTTATTACCCTCGGCCAATTCGAATAGCAACAGTATTCTTTTGTTTGGTAATCAAACCGATATATGTGAATATATTTAACGGGTCTCGTAGCAAAGTTTAGTGAATGCATTTAGAAGGCTGTGGAATTAATGATAAGATTTTATGTCAATAATAAAATATATGGAATTCACATTTTTCACAGTAACGTCAATAAATTTATTATTGGCGTAAAATTTCATCACTGATTCTACACCTGCTAAACAATCAAAACGTTCAATTAATCTGAATTCAATTATAAGAGCATCATTAATTCACAACCCGCTGAACAATCAAAGCATTCAACTAACCCGAATGCGAATTCGATTATAAGAGAGCCAAAAACCTAAATTGGGGGAAGGGAGGAATAAATATGAATGGGCCCATTGCGAAGCATTTCTGAACCATAAGAGAGTCCATGATTCCCCTAGGTCCCTCCTGGATAAGCATTATCCATCCGTGGAAAATATTAAAAATCCCCCACCAAAGTCTTTACCAGAGTAAGTTGAGGTATGACTTAACACTGGCACCACAACTTTCTTGGATAACTCTTGTCTGGATAAAGAGTTAGCCGGGTACCGAAAAAACGAACAAGGCAATAAAGAACTTACAACAAAATTATCGGTTACTGGATGAGTGGATGTTAGTATAATTGTAAAAAAAAACTGTAATCAACCCCTTTTTTGTACAAAATCTAATCATATCCTGCTGAAGGTTTGAAACTGAAGGATCAGTACTTTTAGCTTGAATTTTACCAGGGGTTTTCTGAGTTCGGATTTCCCTGCCCACAGAAATACTACCCACATAGCACTACAGCTGTACATTGGGAGCGTCTTCAGTATACAATTGTAGTGTTAATGTGTCATATGGGTAATCGGGAATAGATTCTTGTGGGCAGGAGATAAGGAGTTGTTTTTCCTACTTTTTCTTTCAAACCAAACACAACGACAAGGTAAGGTACCCATATGGGCGATTCTGAAATCTTCGATCTTCATTCTCTTTAATGAACATCAAGCTTTCGCCCAATTTCCTATTGAACCACCCTATGAGACAGTTTCCCAATTAGTAGAAAAACATACAAACTTAGAAAATGGGCTATGACCTGTGTTTTTTTTTCTAAGGAAAAACTGGAATTCATTTAAGAGAAAGTTAACGGTACGTTTGGTTGTCGCGACGGGGATGAAAAAATATGAATATTTGCATAAGATTCCTATTTTCTCTCGTTTATTTTGGTCGAAACAATAGGATGGGTTGAAAGCATACATTTGAAAAGTAGAGATGCGGGGTCTCACCAGATAGGTGCGACCTCGGTGAGAAACGAAAACAATGAGAAGTCGGTGAGAAAAAAATGTCTCCCTTCACATGTCCCTATGATCAAATCTCCAACCACTGTTTTCTTCACCTCTAACGAATCTAAGACTTCCGTTCATCAACTCCATCTCCGTTTCACATCTTTTGGTCATTTTGTATTTTTTCTCTGAAAACTCATTATCGGTTATCTTCCAAGTCGAGGTTCAGACCCTATCGATAGGGTGTTTAATCTCTGGTGAAGACATAGAATCTCCTCTGTTCTTTTTTTCTTCAAAAACCTCATTGTTTTCCTTCCTAGCTAAGCTTCAGAACCCCAAGCGCCAAAGAGTCCAATCACTGTTCATCATCTCCAACGAAGGTAAGACCTATCCATGCTCCGTTTCTCTCTGTAAACTATTTTTTATATATTTTTTTTCTCTAAAACTTCATTGCTTTTCTTCCCATTCGTGATTTCTTAGCCTTTCGACAACCAAATATTGGTAGATCTACTTAAACCTTTGTTCTCATCGTTGCAGGTCTAACAAGTTTGTAACTTTTTTTAATGATATATTGGTTAGATTTCTTAGGCATCCCTGATTTCTTGCCCATCACCATCGTTGCAGATATGCTAAAACCTCTATTGCATATTTGCTATCATTGAACCTCTGCTATTAAGGTAGAACCATTTATTATTGCAAATCTAAACCTTGCTAAACTTTTGTCATCATCATCGATCATGGTTGAAGGGGAATATAGGAGACAACCGTGGGTGTTCATGTTCCACTGTTGTTAAATGGTTGAAGAGGAATGAAATCAAACATCTTGCAAAAATTTCTTAACAATCAAACATCGGAAAACAAATTTTTTAGAATAATTGATCTCAGCAACCAAACATAGCATGCCAAAATGAAAAAATAAAATTTCTTTTCTCATTCCATTATTTCTCCGCAACCAAATGGACGACGATAAGGAACATTTATGGTTTCTCAAAAAAGATGACATGTGTTAGTAGCCAAAGATTCTTCTCCATGAAAAGACTCGTCTAGGTAAAATAAAAACAACTGGCCACATCAGAAAAGTTGAACGTTTTTTCTTATGACATGGCAGTTTGTTTTTGTTTTGAAAAAGAGAACCATTCATATGGATGTACACCCACAAAATAGTCCTTTTCTTGTACTCATTAGGTGAAATGCTCTGTACAAAATAACTACAGGTGTCGGAATTTTATCAGGTGGACGAATGACGTGGCAGATTCAGTCCGTACATCTGATAAACGACCTCAGCATCAATTCATCTATAGTATGCTTTGTCCACACCAACCCCATTGAAAACAACCGTTCTTTAATCAAAATTTGAATTCAAGTTCTTAATAATATTATTATTAAATTTAATATTTTATGTTTATAAGAATTATTAAAATTATGTAAGTTTAAAAAGTAATTATTTTTCGGAAAAGTATGAAATTTCACTGCAGAAACCTTCATTTTATACAACAATGAGCATCAATTCTGAATATTATATTTTACTTTTATTTTAAGCACAATAAATTGGATTTGGAATAAATCCAAATCATTCTAATAAGGCATCCTGTATTTTGGACTGGATTCAAACCCAACATTTTGGTAATCAGGATATAGCTGGATCCAATCCAAAATCACACTGATGATAGCCCTAGAGATGGGGGGCTTACAATTTGGATATTTAGAAGATTGGAGCTTGATCACCATTGGATGGATCGGAAGTTAAGAAAATCTATACACAGTTTTCCTTTCCCTACATTTTTTTTTCAAACCAAACACAGTCTAAAGAAATGAATAATAAGCATGTTCAGATAAACTCGGATGGGCTCCCCACAGGTGCCTCACAGCCATCGCCTCCATGAATTTTGAACATTTTCTATACTTATCATGGGGAGATATTTCCGATTCATCCCTATCTCCAGTCTCTAATGATCAAATGGCTTTAGGACCATTGATTTATGTATCGAGCTTTCAAAGACTAATTGAATTGAATTTTCTTCATAAGCAATATGTAGCTGAGTGACGTGCATATAGAGGGGGGAATAAGGGGATCAATATTATGAGGTCTTAGATTTATTGTCACATTGATTTCGAATGCTTCATTTTACTGTAATTCGATGACTCTTATAATCTTTTATTTTTTTATTCAATTGAGTATTCCGTCCATCATCGACACTTCTAATTAGTACTACTCTTAAGTACTTATTCTCACTTATCAAAAATTAGTACTTGTTCTCATTCCTCGGTAAAACTTTTTCGTTCCCGAGAAATTAACTCTGAGTGGACGAAGAAGAAATTCCTTTTAACCCACAGTAAAAAAAATGAGCTTTCAACCCCTCCCGCCCGCCAGTCCTCCGCTACTACTAGTACTAGTAGCGAGCGACTCCTCTCGTTCCCGAGGAGCAAACAAGAAGAAACGCCTATTGTTTTCGGGTTTTCAGTGAGCTCTGGTTCTTTTCTTCTCCTTCGTCTCAATAACAAGAAGCTTTTCGGATTTTGTAAGAGGAGATTTCGGTGAGTATTGGGATTTCGGATTTTCTGGATCGTTTCGCGTTCCTGGCGACCAAAATCAACGAAGGTCGGATATCTTTCTTGCACTGAAGTATTAATTAATACAATGCAAAGCATCTCCATTTGTTTCTCAGTGAGATATGGGTTGATACGGTTCTTATTTGCTTCCATAAAAGGGAAGATTCTTTTACTTTCTCTCTCTCTCAAAATTTGAGAGAAACATTTGCTACTTGTAGCTGGATGTTTAGTTAATTGAGGTTTTGAACTCAGAAGTCAGAAATATTATATATCTCTCACTTGATTTTCTTTTGCTATCTTGTTTTCTTGTTTCGTATATATATATATATAATATATATATTCACCAGGAAAGAGGTAGCTAGCTGAGCTTACGTACCTACTACGTACCTCCGATTCTTTATACACTTTAACCTTTTTTTTTTTCGTTTCTGGAACTGGTTTTTAGTTCTTTTTTGACTTCTAGGTTTGATTTTTTAGAACCTTTGTTTTTTTTGTTGTTTCTAGATAAAGTGGGAAGAAGAAGATGCTGCCTTTTCCAAGTTACTACGGGTTCGGGAATTGTTCGAGCAGGGATGGTTTTCCGAGCACGATGGAGATGATGGAGGGCGGAGGCTCGAGGTCATCAATGGCGGAGGCTAAAGTGATCGCTGCATGTAAGAGCCACAGTGAAGCAGAGAGGAGACGGAGGCAACGGATCAACGGCCACCTTGCCACCCTTCGGACTCTCCTTCCGAACACAACCAAAGTAAGTCTCGTAGAGAATTGAATTGAATTTGTGATCGTTGAATTCGATTACGAGGGTATTTACGTAATTTGGTGCGGCTGGCAGACGGACAAGGCATCGCTACTGGCCGAGGTGGTCCAGCATGTGAAGGAGCTAAAGAAGCTGGCTGCCGGTGTGGCATCGCATGATGGGGATGGATACAACAGCAATAGCAACAGAAGCAGAGAGTGGGCGTTCCCGGGTGAGACGGACGAGCTGACGTTAGGTTACTGCGACGCGGAATCGAAGATGATAAAGGCGTCTTTGTGCTGCGATGACCGGCCTGACCTGCTGTCGGACCTGACGAAAGCGCTGAGGTCAGCCCGGGGGAGGATAAGGAAGGCGGAGATGGCGACGGTGGGGGGCCGGACGAAAAGCGTGTTGGTGATACAAAGGCGTAACGAAGGAAGCAGTACTGGCGGAGATGAGGATTTGGAGATGCTGCGAAGGGCATTGAAGGCTGTTCTCGATAAGCCCATTTTGCCTGCGTCCGGCCGGATGCTGCCGGGAAACAAGCGGCCTCGTCTTTTCTCGCCAGCACATCGCCATTAGTCTTCTTTTACTTTATTTTATGCATACATGTAGAAATTGAGTTGTTGAGAATTATCAAATGGTTTTCTTCTTTCTTTTACTAAGAAAGCCTTAGAACTAGAATTTCTTTTTCTTTGATGGTGATTGGTTCATGGGTATAGTTTTCCTTTTTTTTTTTCTTCTGAGCATAGATAGGTACAGGTTTGGTTTGGGCCAAATGTGAGTATTTTGTAAGCATCAATGCGCCACATGGTTTGATATTTCAATTTTGGGCTTACATGTGTAACAGCACATTTGAGGGAATGGACCAAATGGCTTGTTTCATATATTTCTTCCCTCTGTCTTTCTTTACCTTTAATTGCCTTCATCTCCAAATAAATTAAAGATAAGTTCAATTTGATCTCATCTCTGCAACTTCATCTAACTTCATGGTTTGTTCTTCAAGTTTTCTTTTTTTTTTTTTTTCAAAAACTTGGAAAGAACATATTTAGAAAGTAAAGTTTCCCTTCTAAAGCAGGGAATAGGAAAATTCGTATTGATTTTTTTATCATCAACTGTATAAAACCAGATGAGGATTTATACTTCAAGAATTAGAATCGCAATGGTCCAATGATGGTCCATGTTGTTTGGTTGTAAGGAATTGGAATCTGATTCCCATTTTTTATAGAAATAGCAATGTCTTACTTGAGGGAATAGCTATTCCGCCCCATGAACAGTTGGACCAATCTAACAAAGCTTCTCTCTCCCCATCTCTGTGGGTGTCTTCCTCCAACAATTGAACTCTGCAAACTCCGGTAGGACAAGTCATCGCCAGTCATTGTGAAAAATGAAAATAATCTCATTTCGATTCTGATTTGAATTATTGACTGGATCAGACAAGTGAAGAAATAGAACATTCTAACTCCGATTGTGACCATGAACCAAACAGATTAACAGACCCTTTTAATGTCTTCTAATTTTTCATGCTATGAATTGAATAGTGGAACTCGGATAGGTTGGATCGGACTTATGGTCAATCCAGGCCCAAGCATTTTTTATAGTCTGAGTCGGCCAGCCCAAGCCCAAATTAGGTAAATCGTATTACAATAAGGGCGGGGTTCCGTTTGTTGGAGTTTCTTGGGCTTGGGCTTGAGTGGATGAGTAGGTTTTGAAGGTTTAACAATACATAATAGCATAGAACGGTAAGGGTATCAGTATTTTTAACACTGGTCATTTGATAAACAATGCTGACCAATAAAGAAATCTTCAGTATGACAAATTGGTTTGGTCCCCAAAATGGCCCTACACAGTACATTTTCTTCTCGATATTCCCTTATTAATGGGACAAATTAAAGCCCTAAAACCCTTACCACGTGGCCAAAATATACCCCTCTTTTTAAATAAGTTTAAATACCAGATTAGAATATTAAATCTTTTTAACGGGCAATATTACTTGTGGAAGATATCAATAAAGGTGGGTCATAGGCTAATGTGGATTGAAACTTGAAAGATTGCATAGGTAACTTATCCCAAGGATGCCCCACTTGGTCGATGGCTCAAAACAGCCATATCGTAGGATGCCCCGTTTGGTTCGCTGGAATAGGGGTTTGGAATCGGAATCGGATGGGTTATTCGGATTCCAATTGTTTGGTCGGGTAGAAATGGAATCGCATTCCCTGATTCCCATTTTTCCTATTTGAAAGAATGGTCATTCTCTTCTCGTTTTTTAGGAATGAAATCCCATTCCTGCTGATTCTAATTACCATTCCAATTTCGACTTTGAAAGATTTCAGGATCTGTTTGATTCACAGTCGGAATTAGAATTGGAATTGGAATCGAAATCGAAATGGTCCATTCCCATAGTCTGTTTGGTTCAGACAGGAATGTGAATAGAAATGGGAGTGAGCAGAAATGGGATTTTATTCCCATGGGAGAGACAAGGAATGGCCATTTCCTCAAATGGAAGAATGCCAATCTAACAGGAATAAAAATGAAATTCCGATTCTATCCAACCTAACAGTTAAAATTGAAATAGCCCATTCTAATTCCGATTCCAGACCCCTATTCCACGAATCAAACGGGGCTTCAATTCTGATTCCAATTCCAACTGTAAACCAAACAGATCATAATCAAATTATTCCTTACTATTTTTTTCAAATTTTCATGTCCATTAGCCAAAGTTCCCGTATATTGTACGTTGACTTCCTTGTGATCAATTTGGGCCCCTATGTCATCAGTTTTACAAAAGTGTATATATGTTTAAGTAAGGCCCATGGTATTGTCCGTCCACTTTTATTCCTAATTAATTTCATATATACACTCCTTTCGCGTACCATGGTGTATCAATATTTTAAACCCCATCCAGTGTTGGTATGAATATCTTATTTTCACTTGAAGGCCTCGTTCATTTACAGGTAAATATGAATGGGGAACTTGGTCAATGGGTAATTTTTTTCTATTAACCAACTTTTCTATGTTCTTTTTGCATTAAGTAATGAGTCCACATTAAATTTATCCTTACTTTCTTGGGTAAATTTTACCCATCTCCCAGGTGGATAAGTAGCTTTCCCACCTGGGAGAAATTTTTACAAAACCTGATGAGACCATTTTACCCATTTTAAGAGTTACTTTTGATGGATAGAAATGCCATTTTGTTATTTACCTGAGGATCCTAAAAATCAAAAGAAAATGGGTAAATGCAGTTAACATTTACCTAGGTAAGTGCTACCCAAGTAAACTGCACTATTACAAACGAACAGGACCGAAGTGTAACCATTGCAATCATGATGTGCAATATCAAAGTTATTTTTAATTTATTTTATCAATAATATGTAAGGCAATTTTTATGACACTAGAAGAGTATGATACCTGAAATCAATGTTCAAAGTATTGGAAACGCTATGCATATTGGAAAGGCAAATTTAAGAAACATATCGGGATACGCCTTGGATACGCATGGATATGGACTAAAAATTAAGATATGCATGGAAACACATGGAAATGCTATAAATACTCTAATAAATCATAAATAAACATCAATATCACTAAATATAAGACATAAATGAGCTATTTATGCATACAAATAACATATTTTAGTTGGTTTTATGAAAAAACATATTATAATAAATAAACGGGAAGTTGGGAATAGAAACATATCATCTAATTATGGACATAATAGATCAAGTAATTATTTTGCATGTTTTATTCTAATTTTCTAAAAACTAAATAATTATTTATTTTTATTCAAATAATTATTTTGCATGTTTTATTCTAAAAATTAAATYAAAATTAAGAAAAGTAAATATGTAACAAAAAATTGAATGGATTAATGGACATAATAGATGAAATAATTAATTTTCATATTTTATTCTAAAAATAAAAAAAAATATCAATGTTTTAAAACACAGAGGCATTCCACTACCTAGAGGCGTGAAGCATAGTTTAAAATGCAAGAGGCGTAAGATTCCTTAAGAGGATGAATGAGGAAGGAGAAAGGAGGGATTTTATTTTTTTTCTTTATCTTTAATAAAAACTTTTATATTAAGAAAAATAAAAATGCATAATAGTTGTTAAAAGTGGACGAAGCCCCCCAGCCGAAGGGGTAGAGGGCAAACCACTTTCTTTCCCCTTATCTTTTCTAACATTGGTTAAAAATGTAAAAGAAATTTGAAAATACATATCTAGTTTCACTCCTTTTTTCACAACCTTGAAAAACTTATTGAATCTTGCAAATTTATAGATGTTTTGGCAAATTTTTACAAGATTTGAGTCTTTAAAAGGTTAAAAAGCTTTTTGAATGGTTTGGGAAAGAAAGAGGGCTTCTGAAATGGGTTTAAAAACCCTCTTTCGAAAGGAGTTTTATTTGCGTTTCCACCACAATAAAATCATATTGTATCAGCCGATATAGTGTCGAAACGCACCGATACTCAACGACATAGGTACGATACGGGCACGATACGGCCTCGATACGACGAATAGATACGACACATTCAATTTGGTACCATGTATCGTGTCGAAAAGTTGCTGGAACGATATGTATCGGCCAATACAGGCCGATACGTGATGAAATTTTGAACCTTGCCTGAAATACTTTAACCAACAAACCAGCGTGAATTTTCAGGAATACTAGTTGATTGGTTACCAATTAGATAATACTAGTTGGTTGGTTGAGCTTTTTTGGTATAATTCCTTTTCAGTGTCAAGGTATAACTATATATATAATAATTTTTAGCATAACTTATTAATGATATTAAATATTTAAATCTAATCCATGACTTATTTAAAATTGATTTATAATATTAATTTGAATTTGAATATTATAATAGTTGCACATTAAGGGGATGTTTGGAAATATGGTCGTTTTTCAAAAAACGGTGCCACATTGGATCTGCATAGGTGTTTCAAAAAATGTCCATGTATCTCATTATTTGGTTCAGCTGATTATTAAAAACTGGGCATGCCTCGAAAATTGGGATCCCACCGATGCATAATTTGACATTTCATGCATCGGTGAATCGTTTTCCCCAACGGTTGATTGATGTGTATCCTATGTGGTGCTTACCTGTTAGCACATATATGAAAAACAGTGATAAAAATCACCTTCCCAAACAGCATAATGTTGCTCACTGCTTACATGGCAGAAGCGTTTTTTTTGTGAAAAATGGGTCTTGGAAGCATGAACGTTTTTTCATGAAAATCGGTCCCAAAAAGTGCCTAAATGTGATTTAGGACAGTGTGGTTTACACTGCTCTGTTCAATGGTGTCAATAGACCGATTTTGGGTTGAACCGTTGGACCCATCCAAATCAAAATCAATTAGACGGACCAACAAGACATATTGAATTGGACTTGATCCATCCATAATGGATTTATATTGGATTTGGTTGGATTAAACCAATATCCAGTCCATTGATATAAGATAAGAATACAGGTGTCGTTGGAGCAGGTATGGATTTTAACCAATCTAAATTAAAACCAATTTGAACATATTGGATGGTCCAAAATGGTCCCAAGTATTCATTGGATTGGATTGGACATGTCACATCTGTAATGGACTAATATTGGACCAGATTGGGTTGAACTTAAGGTTCAAAGTATCGATACATATCGACCTGTACCAGCCAATGCATATTGTGCTTGTGACTTCCCGATACACTCCTAAAGGGGTTGCATCGGGTCAGCCAGTGGTTCAGAGGGTAGTCGGGTCTTAAACCGACCCCTCTAAACTGGTTTCATAAAAAAAGTAGAACATATAAAAAAAGCACCGATATAGGCCAATACGCCTGCCATATCGGCCCATATCGGTATTTAGAACCTTGGTTGAATTAAATCCGGTCAAATTGACACCCCT